CCCACCTCCTCCACACTTACCCCATTCTGCGGCTCCCCGGATCCAGAACGCCCTTCATGTTCATCTCGTCTAAGTCAATGAAGGTGCCAATCCCTTCGCGCAGCCGGATCGTTCGAATGTTACACTTCGACATGCGCAGAGCGAGCTGGTCGTCCTCCAAACCCCAGCCCCAGTAATTATTGGGGTAACCATTGGCCCGCTCGAAGTCCTCTGGCCGAAAGGACAGCACGCCGCCAAGAAAGCCTGGGTAAGTGTACTTGGGCCAGACGGACGCCAGGTGCACTGCGGTCCCCGGGGGTGGAGGCTTGGCATACGCGGGGCGCATGTCCTGAGAGTCAGCGGGGGGATCCTCCACCTCCTCCTCCTCCTCCTCCTCCTCCTCCCTCCTCCTCCTCCTCCTCCTCCTCCTCCCCCTCCTCCTCCTGTCCTCCTCCTCCTCCTCCTCCTCCTCCTCCTCCTCCTCCTCCTCCTCCTCCTCCTCCTCCTCCTCCTCTTCCCCCTCCTACTCCTCCTACTCCTCCTCCTCCACCTCCTCGTCGTCGTCGTCATCGTCGTCGTTGTCGTCATCACCATCGTCGTCATCGTCATCCTCGTCATCACATCATCATCATCATCATCATCATCATCATCATCATCATCATCATCATCATCATCATCATCATCATCATCATCATCATCATCATCATCATCATCATCATCATCATCATCATCATCATCATCATCATCATCATCATCATCATCATCATCATCATCATCATCATCATCATCATCATCATCATCATCATCATCATCATCATCAACATCATCATCAGCATCATCATCAGCATCATCATCACCATCATCATCATCAGCACCATCATCATGATCATCATCAGCATCATCATCATACTCCTCATCATCATCATCATCATCATCATCATCATCATCATCCTCATCATCTTCATCGCCGTCATCATCGCAATCCTCATCAGCATCATCAGCATCATCATCAGCATCATCATCTTCATCATCAGCAGTACCATCATAATCAGCATCATCACCATCACCATCATCACCACCATCATCAACATCTGCATCATCGTGGTCATCACCACCATAATCAGCATGTTCTCAGTAGTGACATTCTTGAGCGACATTCTAGAGGTCTCACTGGTATCACTTGTACCACTCATGATAAACACCATTCATGATAAACATCATCATGATCCACCGCCGCTTTACTGTGGAAAATTCCCCCCCTCTTCCTCCGGAACCTGGGGTCCCCCCCCCCCTCCGAAAATCTCGCCCCCCTGCTGGACCCCCCCCCCGCCTTCCCCCCGGCAAAACCCCCCCCTTCCCTATAACCCCCCACCCCCTCCGGAAAACCGGGAGGGGTCACTACAGGCTCGACCCCCCAACCCCCCTCCGGAAAACCGGGTGGAGGTATACCGGTTCGAACCCCTCCCCCCCCCTCCAGAAAACCGGGGGTGGTGTGGTCACTACGAGTTCGAGTCCCCCCCTTCAAAAAACCGGGGGGATCACTACCAATTCGAACCCCTCCCCCCTCCCTTCTCCAGAAAACCCGGGGGGGTCACTACTGGTTCGAAACCCCCCCCCGCCCCCCCCCACGCTCACCGCCAGCAAACGACTCCCGGGTCCCTACCACCGTCCGCACCACATCCCCCACTGCTGTCCCCAGCACCACTGTCCTCACCACCACTGTCCCCACTGTTCCCATCACCGTCCCCGCTGTCCCCACCGGTGTCCCCACCACTGTCGCACTGTCCCCACTGTCCCCACCAGTGTTCCCACCACGGTTCCACTCTCCCCACTTTCTCCACGGTCCCCATCACTGTCCCACTGTCCCCACTGTCCCACTGTCCCACTGTCCCCGCCGCTGTCACACTGAGTTGTCCCACCGTTCCCACCACTGCCCCCACTGTCCCCACCACCTTTCACACTGTACCCCTGTCCTATTGTCCCACCGCCGTCCTCGCCACCACCCTCACCACTGTCCCCACTACCACTGCACCCTCCACTGTCCCACTGTTTCCAACACAGTCCCAGTCCCCACATCACTGTCCCCACCACCGTCCCCACCATTGTCCCATAGTCCCCACTGTTGCCACCATTGTCCCCGCTGTCCCCACCAGCGTCCCCACCAGCGTCTCACCGTCCCCAGTCTCCCCACCATTGTCCCACCACGGCCCCACTCTCCCCACTGTCCCCACGGTCCACCACTGTCCCACTGTCCCCGCCGCTGTCCCACTATGCTGTCCCACCGTCCCCACCGTCCCCATCACTGTCCCACTGTCCCCACTGTCCTCGCCACTTTCCCCACTGTACTACTGTCCCACCACTGTCCTCACCACCGCCTTCACCACTGTCCCCACCACTACCGTCCCCACCACAGTCCCACTGTCCCCACAACTGTCCCGCTGTCCCCCCACCACTGTCCCCACCACTGTCCGTTCCTCTGTCCCACTGTCCCCGCACCACTGTCCCCACAAACACCGTTCCCACCACTGTCCCAGCATCCCCACCATTGTCCACCTGTCCCCAGGAGCGGGAATCGTTTGCTGGCGGCGAAGGGGGGGGTGGGGGGGTCCGAGCCGGTAGTGACCCCCCCCACGGTTTTCCAGGGAGGGGGCGGGGTTCGAACCAGTAATGACCCCCCCTCCCTCTTCATGATGGACTGGGGGGGGGGGAGGAGTTCGAACCGGTAGTGACCCGCCCCCGGTTTTCGAGGGGGGGGGGACGGGCTGGGAACCCCCAGTGACCCCCCCCGGTTTTCCGCCAGCAGCGGTAGAACACGCTCTTTCTCACCACCATCACCATCGTCACCAAAACCATCACCCCATTATCATGATCAGAGACGTACTCATCGCCACCGCCACCACCATAATCATCATCATCACCTCCTTCACCACCATCATATCGTCACCATCGTCACCATCGTCGCCATCGTCAGCAGCATCACCATCACAATCATCATCGGCAGCGTTATCAGCATCTTCATATCACCTTCGGATTCAATATCACCGTTATCATCATAATCATCATAAGCAGCATCATCGTCATCCTAATCCCCATCAGCATCATCAGCGTCATCAGCATCATCATCACCACCGCCATCACCATCATACTGCAATCACAATCACAGCATCAGCACTACCAGCAGCAACAGAATCACCATCATCATCAGCCAAATCAGCATGGGCGTCATAATCGACATCATCATCATCATCAAAATCATCATCATCATCAACATCATCATCATCAGCAGCATCATCATCAATTTGTCCTTGAAAGCTCTGGCGAAGATGAAAACTGCCGGCTCCCCAACTGATGGCCGAAAGCCTGCTCTCCCAGTCGATACGCAGGTCCCCGTGAAGGTGCAATTAGTCCCGCCCTTCGCAAAATTGGAACCACCTGGCTGTAGTCCTGACCGGCGACCACAAGAGGTGCGGTTTGCGAAGGGTGCGGCTTGCCTCCCGTCATATCTGCCCCTCCCGCCCCGGGGAAACGGATGACACTGTCACTCAATGCGACCGAATCACATGACACTGTTGCCCCTTCTAGTATAGTGGAGCACACATCGAGGTTTTTTTTCTTCTTTTTGCTGCGCTCAGCCTCAGTGCGGACGGCGCCGCGGGTCTGCCAGCAGATGCGCGACACGCCGGCGTCCACCCAGGATGGCCGGCTGCGCCTGGAAGTATACCGACAGGTGACCAAAGTCCAAAGTGACATTGTCTCGCGCAAAGGCCCCGGAAAGGCCGCCACAAAGCAACTCGCAAACCGCACCCCGGCGTAACCGCACCGATCGTAGTCGCCGACCTGGGGCCCCGGCCGAATCCGGTGCAATCGCGGGGGCTCCAGAGGGCTGCGCGTGCCGGGCGTACAGTGGAGCACCTGCCAGGCACGCAAGGGGAGGGAGAGGGAGGAAAGAAGGGAGGCGACGGAGGAAGAAGAGGACAAGGACAGGGCAGATACGAATGTGCCCAGATTCGCATCATCATCACCATCAGCATCATCACCATCATCATCATCATCATCATCCTCATCATCATCATCATCATCATCATCATCATCATCATCATCATCATCATCATCATCATCATCATCATCATCATCATCATCAGCATCATCATTATCATCATCATCATCATCATCATCATCATCATCATCATCATCATCATCATCATCATCGTCAGCAGCAGCAGCATCATTTTCATCATCATCAGCATCATCATCATCATCATCATCATCATCATCATCATCATCATCATCATCATCATCATCATCAGCATCATCATCTCATCATCATCATCATCATCATCCTCATCCTCATCCTCATCCTCATCCTCATCCTCATCCTCATCCTCATCATCATCATCATCATCATCATCATCATCATCATCATCATCATCATCATCATCATCATCATCATCATCATCATCATCATCATCATCATCATCATCATCATCATCATCATCATCATCATCATCATCATCATCATCATCATCATCATCATCATCATCATCCTCATCCTCATCCTCATCCTCATCCTCATCCTTATCATCCCCCTCCTCCTCCTTCTCCTCCCTCTCCTCCTGCATCATCACAATCACCACCACCGTCATCATAATACGCCGATCCGGCGTGTGAGTTTCTGGGAGCGTGGGCTGCTCCACCCCGCGGTGCCGGCCTCGCCGGTGCCGGCAACCCCCCCGGTACCAGTCGCCCCCCCCACTGGTGCCAGCACCCACCGCCGGGGTGCCCACACCCGCTGGCGGTGCCGCCCCCCCCACCCCCGGTGCTGGCAACCCCCCTCCCAGGCGACCCGCCCCCAGTGCTGGCCTCCCCGTGCAGGCCCCCTTCCGTGCCCAATGCCGACACCCTCCCCGGTGCGGGCAACCCCCCCCTGTTGCCGGCACCCCCCTCCAGTGCCGCCCCCCCCGCCCTCCAGTGCCGGCCCCTTCCGCTAGTGCTGGCAACCCTCCCCCGTGCCGCACCCCCCCCGGCGCCGGCACCCCCCTGGTGCCGGCACCCCCCCAGGTGCAACCGGTGCCGGCACTCCCCCCGGTGCCGGCACCCCCCTCCGGCGCCAGCACCTCCCCCCCAGTTGTCGCACCGGGGGTCCAGTGTTGGCATCCCCGCCCCGTGTGCAGGCACCATGGGGGCTCGGTGATGGCCCCCCCCAGCACTGCCACGCGCTCAGCTCAAAGCCAAAAAGTATGAGGACATCATCATCATCATCATCATCATCATCATCATCATCATCATCATCATCATCATCATCAGCATCATCATCGTCATCATAATTATCATCATCATCATCAGCATCATGAGCATCATCATCATCATCATCATCATCATCATCATCATCATCATCATCATCAGAATCATCATCATCAGCATCAGCATCATATCATCAGCATCATCAGCATCATCATCAGCATCATCATCAGCATCATCATCATCATCAGCATCATCATCAGCATCATCATCATCATCAGCAGCATCATCATCATCATCAGCATCATCATCATCATCATCATCAATCATCATCATCATCATCATCATCATCATCATCATCATCATCATCATCATCATCATCGTCCTCCTCCTCCTCCTCATGTTCCTCCTCCTCATCATCATCATCATCACCATCATCATCAGAATCATCACCATCATCATCATCATCAGCAGCAGCAGCAGCATCAGCAGCATCATCAACCTCAGCAGCAGCAGCATCAGCAGCAGCAGCATCAGCATCAGCATCAGCATCAGCATCAGCATCAGCATTGTCATCATCAGTATCATCGTCACTTCCCTCATCATCATCATCATCATCATCATCATCAGCAGCATCAGCATCAGCATCAGCATAATCATCATCATCATCATCACCATCATCATCAGCATCATCATCCCGAGCGCCCCGGATCGGACGCACTGGCAGAAGGCCTTGGCAATATGGTTATATATCGAAGTAGTAACAATCAGCATAGAGATCTTACTGATACTACTTCTATCACTGATGATAGTCCTCAGCATCACCACCACCATCACCAAAACCATCACATCATGATCATCAGCATCGACGTCCTCATCACGACCACCACCACAATCATCGTTACAATAATCACCACAAGCATCACCACCACCACCATCACCATCACCATCACCATGAGCATCGTCAGCCACATGATTATCATCATCAGGAGCATCATCATCACGACCATCATCACCATCATCATCATCATCATCATCATCATCATCAGCATCAGCATCATCATCACCAGCATGATCAGCATCATCATCATCATCATCATCATCATCATCATCATCATCATCATCATCATCATCATCATCATCATCATCATCGTCATAATCAGCATCATCATACCACCATCGCGAAACTTTACCATCATCATCAGCAGCATCATTAATGGCATCATCATAAGCATCATCATCGAATTCACCATCCGCAGCATCATCAGCGTCCGTATTAGCATCATCATTGTCATCAGCAGCATCATCAGACTCATCATCGTCATCATGATCGTCAACATCCCTCTTTCCTCCTCCTCCTCGTCCTCCTCCTCCTCCCCCTCCTACTCCACCTCCTCCTCCTCCACCTCCTCCTCATCGTCGTCGTCATCGACGCCGTTGTCGTCATCACCATCGTCGTCATCGTCATCCTCGTCATCACCATCATCATCAGCATCATCATCATCATCATCATCATCATCATCATCAACATCATCATCATCATCATCATCATCATCATCATCATCATCATCATCATCATCATCATCATCATCATCATCATCATCATCATCATCGTCATCGTCATCGTCATCAACATCATCATCATCATCATGATCACCACCATCATCATCATCATCAGAATCATCATCATCATCATCATCACCAGCATCATCATCATCATCATCATCATCGCCGTCATCATCATCATCATCATCATCATCATCATCATCATCATCATCATCATCATCATCATCAACACTATTACCCTTACCCTCACCCTCACCATCACTATCGCCATCATCATCATCAGCATCGTCATCATCATCAGCATCATAGTTATCATCATCAGCATCATCACCATCATCATCACCACCATCATCAGCACCATCATCATCGCCATCAACATCAGAATCATAATCGTAAGCATCATCATCATCAGCATCAGCATGAGCATCAGCATCATCATCATCATCATCATCATCATCATCATCATCATCATCATCATCATCATCATCATCATCATCATCTTCGCCTCCTCTCCCATAATCGGCTCCCTCTTCCCTCTCTTCCTCCTCCCAGTTCGCCTCCTCCCCCTCCTCCACGTGTCCATAGAGGGCAGCAGGTCCACATCGTGCGTGATGAATGACGTGATTCCAGGCAAGGCCCCCTGCGCCAGCCGGAGCCCCACGTTGAGCAGCTGGCCCCGATTAAACTTCTGCCCATCCTGCGTCTGCTCCACCACCTCGGGGGCTGCCAAGAGGGGGGGGTCCAGAGAGGGGGGGATGCAAATCATGACCGGCGGCATGTGCGCGGCCCAGGGGGGTGGACCAGGGACGTAATGAATTAAAAAGATGCGCCATGAAATCTGAGGAAATATCATCATGGCCCACGCCATGATATCCACCCCACCTAGTCATCACCCCCCTCGTTGCCGCCCCCGACCACCACGAGCACGGCTTCACAACCGGGAATGAGGGACAAGAATTCCTCCAAGTGCCCACGGTCGCTGGCCCCCCCTTGCGGGCCAGAGGGTCCCAGGGGAGGGGGGGGAGGACGGAAGGGAAGGGTTGGGTGGGATGAGATGGCGTGGGATGGGGTGGGGTGGGGTGGAGTGGGATGGCATGGCGTGGGATAAGTATGGTGAAGGGAATGGAATAGGATGGGATGGAAGGAGAGGGCAACAGAATGACCAGTAGGACAACAAAGCGGGGAGAGGGGGAGGAGCGACAGCGGCAAGAGCAGCGGGAAGAAGGAGGGGCACAGGTCGTCCTCGCCGGCGGTCGTCCCCGTCCCCCGTCGGCTGCGCCAGTGCTCTTCCTCGTCGGCGGTCGTCTTCGCAGGCGGTCGTCTTCGTCGGCGGTTGGTGTCGCCGCGGTCGTCTTCCATGGCGGCGTTCGCACCGTCGCCGACGCCGCCGTCGACGTCATCGTCGTCGTCGACGTCGTCGTCGTCGTCGTCGTCGTCGTCGACGTCGTCGTCGTCGTCGTCGTCGTCGACGTCGTCGTCGTCGTCGTCGTCCGTCTGCGGACCCCAACGGGCGGGGCGCGCGGCAGGGCCCTCAGCGGGCGGGGGGCAGGCCGGGAGCTATGGCGGGCGCGCGAGCTTGCACGCGAGCGAGCTGGCCCACCCCAGCGGGCGGACCGGGCGTGCGGACCCCGGGCGGGTCGCGCAGGCGGGACAATCAGGCGGCCACATTAGAGGAAAGAGAACTATGCACATACACCGATTCTGGCCAGGCCCAACCCTGAGCCCAAGATCGGTGCATACGCCCTCCTGCCTTGGCCACGAAGGCATATGCACCGATCCTGGGGCCAAGGATGGGCCTGGCCAGGACCGGTGCATGTGCATAGTTCTCTTCGCCCGACACATGCGAACCCTACCCCTACCCCCCACGATTTCTCAGGGGGAGGGTGGGGTTCACGCAGAGGGGCAGGGGTAGGGGGGTAGGGGCAGGGGGGTAGGGGTAGGTTTCGCATGTGGCCCCCTAACACTGAAGAAGCAGGGGCGGGCGGGTTCGCAAGCAAGCGAGCGGGTGGACCCCAACGGACGGCTCGGGCGAGCGGGGCACGACGACGGCAGTGCCGACGACGGCGGCAAGCGGCGAAGTAGACGATGGCGAGCCCGACCAGAGCGACGGCGACGGGCGAGGGCGACGACGAAGACGACGGGATGTCGAGGACGGCGGCAGCGACGAAGGCCACGGGGCGAACACAAACCGCGAAAACGAGTGCCACCGAAAACGACCGGGCGGAGGCGACAGCTGGCCAAGCCGACCGTGGCGAAGCGGAACGGGCGAAAACGACTGAGCCGAAGCCAGGCAGGCCAGGCCTGGCGGCGTCGCAGCCGAACGCCCGCGAAGGCACCCTACACGAAGGCAGGAAGGCAGGGACGCGGGGGAACGCAGGAGGGACAGGAGGGCAGGATGAGGGGAGGACGGCCCGAGGAAGGGATGCGGGGATCGGCTGCACGCAGGAGGGCCTTCTGGGCAAGAGTGACCTCTGCTGCGTGGCCTGCCGGTCGCTGCATGCGGTGCGACAGTAGCGTTAACTCGGGCATGTCCCCCTACAGGCGGATTTTTGGACGATATTTTCTCTATATATATATATATATATATATATATATTATTATATATATATATATATATATATATATATATCCCCAAACAATCAAAAAATCGTCCACTGACTAGTTTGTTCTACTATTTTTGAATATCCGCCGACCCTGTCGGCGTGTGGGAGAGGCTTTCCCGTCTTCCCCACAGCGTCGTCGCCTCTTCTGCTTTCCGAGGGTTCCCTGCACAAGTCCACACAAAAATTGAACAACGTCGTCCTTCAGTCGAAGGGATGCCCCTTCCCGTGATCCCTTCCCCGCCGGGGGAGGGGGGCCGGGGCAACTCCCGGGGGGGGCCCCCCAACTCCTGGGGGGGGTCCCCCCCAACTCCCATGGGGGGGTCCCCCCCAAGTCCCGGGGAGGGGCCCTCCCTCGGATACGCAGCCCCCCGCCTCTCATCCTCCTGCGTCCTGGGGCTCCGTTGGCCCTCCAGGGCCGTCTGCGGGCCCTTTGATCCCTTCCCCGCGGGGGGAGGGTCCCAGGCAACGGGGCAACTCTCGGGGGGGGTGTCCCCCTTCGGATACGCAGCCCCCCGCCTCTCCTCCTGCGTCCTGGGGCTCCGTTGGCCCTCCGGGGCCGTCTGCGGGCCATGTCAGCCTATCTTAAGGCTCCTTGGAAACCGTTCGCCATTTTTTAACTCTCTTGGCAGCCTCTGGCGGCACTCTTGACAGCCTCTGCAGGCGCGTTTGGACCTCGCTTGACGCCGTCTTAAACCCTCACGGGCCACTTGAAGGCGCTCTTTGCCTATCTTGGCACTCTCTGGAGCCGCGCCCGAGCCCTGGAGGAGGCCTCTTGAGCTGTCTTCGGACGACCTTGCAGGCATCTGGCGCCGTCTTCGAGCCATCTGAGGGCACCTCGGACCCCTCCACCTCCATCGTCTTCGTCGTCGCTGCCCACAGGGTCGGCGGCATCGGCCGTGAGGCCTCCGCAGTCCCTCCTGCAGAGGGGCACGCCCGACGCAACAGCAGCGGCAGGCGTCCCGGGGCCTGGCCTCCCCGCCCCCCCCCCTCCCCCCCCCCACACACACACACACACACACACACACACACACACACACACACACACACACACACACACACACACACACAAAGCCGTGCGCCGAGGGCCCCCCCCGAGGGAGGGGCACCCTTTTTGAGCTCAACGCCCGCACAGCCTAGGTGAAAAAAGGCACAGCAGCGGCGGCTGGGAAACCACTGCTGGCAGTGAGGGAGACCTCACTGACCGAAAGAGTACCTCCAGCAGCCCCATGGGCTAGGAGGCACTGGCCACACGACGGGCGACCGCGCGGCGCCAGAAGGGAGGAGGGCGGCGCGACCTGTGCGTGTCCACCACATGCCTGGGCAGGCCCTGCTCCGACTGCCCATCCAGACCACCCCGGCCCAAACCCGAAGTCCCGCATGTCGGGTTGGGGGGGGGGTACGGCTTCGTGTGTGTGTTGTTCCCTGTTCCCCGCGCCCCCCCCCCCCCCCCCCTCCCACTGGAAATGGAGGGAAAATCGGGGCCTTCGGGTTGGGGTGGGTTGGTGGGCGGTGATTTTCTGGGCCCAGGGAAAAAATCGGGGCCTTCGGGTTGGGGTGGGTTGGCGGGCGGTGACTTTCTGGGCCCAGGGACGGGCCTGGCCAGGGGCGGTGGATTTGCCTGGCTCTCCCACTGCAAGAGGCGCATGGGAAACACAGAGAAATACTAATACTAGATGTCCTCCTTGGAGGCACGCGTCCGAGGCCTCCTCCTCCTCCCCCTTCACCCTTCCTCCTCCTACTCCCTTCCGCCTCCTCCTCCTCCTCCTCGTGCCCCCCCCCCTCGTGTTGTCTTTCGTCGTCTTCAGGGTCGGCGGCAACGGCCGTAAGGCCTTCGCAATACTAATACTAGATGTCCTCCTTGGAGGCACGCGTCCGACCCGAACCTGTAGTATACCCATCCTGTAGCACATCGTTTCCCGAACGGTGCGGCCAACAAGCGCCCGCCACGACGCATGCACTAGAAGAGTTCTCGGTGCACGCGTCGCCCCTGGGGGGGGAGGGGGGAGCGACGCACATATAGTATACTCCAGATTTCGTAATAAAAGGGAGGGGGTCTGGACCCCCCAAGACAAGCCATTTCAGACCCCCCCCCGTGGGAGAACCCTCCAAAACATCGTCCCCAGACCCCTCCAGGCCCTCCAAGATAGCCGGGAAGAGACCCCCCCCCCGAGATGAGACCCCCCTCCCCTTGTTACGAAATCCGGAGTAAGTGTGCTGGGGTGACGCCGAGCGCAGGCATAGGAAGAAAAGCAGCACAGCCTATGGACACACAGAACGTTCCGAGGTCCGCGCGGACTTCCTGGGACCACCGCGCTGGAGGCCCCGCCCTGGGCCCAGGGTGGGCCTCGCCGGGGGCGGCGCATCCGTGCAGCTCCCGCAGAGGGCGGAGGAGCGCAGCGAGGACGAGGTGGCGCTCAGCTCTAGGGGGCCACATACGAACCCTACCCCTACCCCCCTCAGCAATCGTGGAGGGTAGGGGTAGGGTTCGCATGTGGCCCCCTATAGCTCCCGTCGCACGAGGCAAGCGAGGAAGCCATTGAGCAGGGACCGACCGTCCCGGCAGTCCTAGAGTCCTACCACGAAATTCTCCTAGAACCCAAGAATGTTCCAAGAACAAGAAACAATGTTCTTAGAACAGATTCCCGATGTGTTCAAACCAGACAGACTCCGCCAGAAATGTTCTAAGAACATGTCCTGGAAACCACAAAAGGTTCTTAGAACATTGTTTGGTGGGGCTATAGGCGAGCCAGGACGCTTCGCCGCTGCTTGAAGCCAGCAAGCAAACCCCATGGGCGACGAGAAGTTCGGGAATCCGGCAGGCTACCCTACATCGCTGGGCGGCAGACCTGTATGGCTGCAACAGGGCTACTTGCTAGCACGTGTGGGAGCACAGCACCGTCTCACGAAGGAAGAGGAGGAGGAGCAGCAGCAACAGAGCGAGGGCAAGGAGTAGGGCGACAATATCTAGACCCGTCCACTATCCCTGGCCATGCCCATCCTGGGCCCAGGAGCGATGTGTATGCCTTCCTGGAGGGCGCCCCCTGGCCCCACGGCGAGGAGGCCGAGCGACCGGCCGGCCATGTGCGGCACGAAGCGCTGCAGCTGCGCCCTCCGGTCCTGGCAGGGGGAGGGCCCGGCCGGGGAGGGCGCGGAAGGCTCTGTCGCCATCGGGGCGCTGCCGGGACGATGCCTGGCCGCGCCGGGCGGCCGAGCGTCCTCCGCTCGGACGAAGGAGGACAGACTAGTACTGTGCGCATGCCCGAAATCAATATCTAGCACAAGCCTCTCGTAGCGTGTCGATCTCCAGGCGGTATGGCCAGAAAGAGCCCGCCGACGAGTATGTACTGGAAGATTTCTGAGCGCGCGCATCGCCCTTCAGAGGCCGAAGAAAAATCTAAGAGTGTTTGGGTGATGCCGACCCTCCTCCCCAGGCTAAGACTGAGGACCGTGTAGATGCATGGGCAAGAAAAACGAGAGGCACAGGAAGAAAAACCCTCCTCCGCCTCCTCCTCCTCCTCCCCCTCCCCCTCCTCCTCCTCCTCCTCCTCCTCCTCCTCCTCCTCCACCACCTCCTCCTGCTCATCATCATCATCATCATCATCATCATCATCATCATCATCATCATCATCATCATCATCATCATCATCATCATCATCATCATCATCATCATCATCATCATCATCATCTCATCATCATCATCATCATCCTCATCCTCATCATCATCCTCATCCTCATCCTCATCATCATCATCATCATCATCATCATCATCATCATCATCATCATCATCATCATCATCATCATCATCATCATCAGCATCATCATCGTCATCATCATCATCATCATCATCATCATCATCATCATCATCATCGTCGTCATCAGCATCAGCATCAGCATCATCATCCTCATCATCATCATCATCATCCTCATCATCCTCATCATCCTCATCATCCTCATCATCCTCATCATCATCATCATCATCATCATCATCATCAGCATCATCATCATCATCATCCTCATCCTCATCCTCATCATCAGCATCATCATCATCATCATCATCATCATCATCGTGATCATCATCATCATCATCATCATCATCGTCGTCATCAGCATCAGCATCAGCATCAACATCAGCATCATCATCCTCATCATCATCATCCTCATCATCCTCATCATCCTCATCATCCTCATCATCCTCATCATGATCATCATCATCATCATCATCATCATCATCATCATCATCCTGCTCCTCCTCCTCCACCTCCTCCTCCTCCTGCTCCTCCTCCTCCTCCTCTTCCTCCTTCGACCGCCCGCCCTCCCCCATCCGTGCGGGGGGACCCTTCCGCGCGGGAGGACACCTCCGCGCGAGGCGGGGCGAGGAGGAGGAAGAGGAGGAGGGAGGAGGAGAAGGAAGAAGAGAACGAGGCGGAGGAGGGCCGATTGCATCCACAAGGAAAAACAATGGAAGAAGAGGAGGAGGAGGAAGAGTGTATGTTTACATTTCGGGTTGCATTTCCCTTTCGAGGGGACTCTTCTGACGGCCTCAGCCTGGCCTGTCTCAATTCGAAAAACCATGAGGCCGAACGAAGGGCTGCTCACCATCCTCCCTCCTGGAAGCCTCGATCACCCTGAGGGTATCCCTGAGAGATTTTGTCCCACGAAGGGAGGAGGCAGGAGAGGAGGACACGGCCGCACCCTCGAAAGGCTGAGACGATGCTTCGCTCCCATCCCCAACACTCCCACCCGCCCGACCATCCACAAAAGTCGCGGCAACGAACCCAGGAGCGGCTACATGCGCAAGCAAGGCCGAGCCAGCTGTCCACGGTGAGGAGAGGAACTGTACGTTCTTCCGTATGCGTATATATCTATATATAGAGAGAAATGCAGGTGATGCCCCACACAAACGTATCTCCAGTTCGTGCGGCCAGCACCCCCTGTCCACGGGAGCATGGGGTGGCGAGATGGACGAGCCTGCCGCCTGTGCTGCAATTCTGGAATTTCACGCAAATGCACAACAACGAAACATCCGCACAGCCCAGGAGTGCGCACTGGTGGTTGTTGGCTGCCAAAAGCTCTAGATCCAGGCGAGGTGGCTGAACACATCTGCCTGGGGGGTGGCGGAGACTCCCCCCTCTTACCTTTTCGAACGAGCCGCGCAATGCCAAAAAGTTGAAGCCCAGACCCAATCGTGGCTGGCCTCTCCAGGCCCCTGGGGCCGTTTGACGCATTCTACCTGTGAGAAGACCAGACGCGGCCACAAAAGCAGAACATTCATGGCGATCTGGGCGACCGCTCTGAAGAGCGTCACAAACCTGTTAACTACAGTTTGGGTGTCTGGGTCGGGAGTGGGATGGGTTTGGGCCCCAAGCTTGGCGGCGGAATCAGCGAAGCTGTTCCGAACACGACGGAACCGTTCGAATTCAGGGGTACCTCCATCGCCTCCGGGATTGGCGCCCGCAGCAGCGAAGCTCAAAACTCCCCAACCTGAGACGACTGATGGGACATGGTCCCTCACGGGCCCATAGCACAGCTCAAGAGCTTCAGACCCGATCAGATTTAAGCAAGCCCCCAGCCAGCCCGACACAATTCATTGATGACCGACTTACACCAACTACCGTCCACGAAAATTCACCCTTGGAAGTCACCGCCATCCGAAGTCCCCTCAGCCAGAGACCCCTGGACATTCCCCCAAAAAGCTTGACAAACCACGCTGCCTCGACGAGGTGGTGGTGCCGCACTTGCTCGCATGCCTTCAGCAGGTCGAGCATCACGAGCACCGACACCCACGCTTCTGGGTCTCGCTGCTGGCGCCCGTTGGCCGTCGCCCACTCGCCTCCGCCACCAGCTCCCAGACTGCCCTTTTCACAGCCACGGCCTCGGGCGGCCCAGAAGAAGGGCCTGCCGTTGCGCCCCCCCCAACCCAGCGCGGTGGACCTCCCGAGGCGAGCCTGCACCCTCGCCAACACCACGACGATCGCGATCGGTCGTGCCCCCCCCAAGCGGCTTCGCAAGGAAACGCACCTTGGTGGTGAGGCTGGGCCACTCCACTGCTCTTTCCAACTTCATCGGGATGTCGGTCAGCGTCTCCAGCGCCCCATCGCACAGCTCCAGCAACTGCCTCGGCCGAATGCCCTCGAAGGAAGCTGCTGCGGCGTGTCGGAAGGCCCCCAGACACTGCCTCAGCTCCCCCACCGAGGGACCGGGAGGGCGCTCGCCCAGGTCCTCGGGCCAGCGCGCGCTGACCTGCTCGCACTCGACTCTCCAAAGCCTCCGCCGATCCTCTTCCAGCTGGCGTACCTCCACCTCATGGCTGGCTGGCGCGCCCCTCGCCTGCTCCTGATCAGCTGGGCTGTCCTGCCAACCGATGGGCACACGCGTGATGGCGCGTAGCCCTCCTGCTCCTCCTCGCAGCTGCAGCTGGGCCCACTCGTCGAACTGCCGCCCTCTATCTTCAAGGTCCCGCTGCGCCAAGGCATGAGCATCAGCGCGCGCCTGCTTGGCTATCCAGCGCAACGCCACAACGGGCGCACGGCTAACCTCTTCTTCCAGCACTACCTCCCACCACCGCAGCGCGGCTCCAGCCAAGCCCGCGGCGGGGCAGGCGCTGGAGGCCTGCTCCTGATCAGCCATGGCCCACAGTCGCTGCGGCGCGCCTCGCGCCTCACGGGGAAGGCCCCTCAGCGCCATCGCCTTCCCCTTGGGCCCCTGGCCCCGCGCCGCCGCCCTCAGGCAATTGGCCACCCTGGCCAAACACGCCGCCGCAGCCGTGATCCTTGGCGGCCGCATCCATTTGACTGCCGTCTGCCGCACCCACTTGGCGACCACACGTTCGGAGCGCCCGACGCACCGATGCGCATCTCCTTCGACCTGAACAATTTCCACTAAACAAGTCTTGCTCCGCTGCCGCGAGGAACCTGCGGAAGGCCACCGTCAACGCCGTGGGCGGACGCGCTATGCAGACGTCTCCTGTCGCATCACCTTGCACCACATCAAGCATTCGCTGCACTGATTGCCCAACTTCAACCCACTTGGCACCCTGATCAGCCCTGCAGCAGCCTGACGGCCTCACAACGGGGAAGAGCTTGGGCGCCTGCGCGATCTGCAACCACGGCCGTACTCCAAGAGCCTTGACCTTCAGGATGACTGGCGAATGGGGAAACACAGGCGAGCCAGACACCACCTGCACACTGACTACCTGCATCTCCCGCGAGATCAGTAAGAAGTCGATGATCCTGCCCGAGGCGGCGCACGTCGCCACCGCTGGCCTCGCGACCTCCACGTCGAAGCACTGCAGCAGGTGGCTCTGCACCAGCTCGTCGTACTCCACGTTGAAGCCGCCTCCTGCGATGTACGGCCTCCTGAACTGCCTGAGACATCTCGCCATATCGAGCAGCGCACTCCTGTTGGTCTGGTTCAGCCCAACGCCAGCCTCCAGGTAGACGTTGATGAGCAGGACGCCGCTCTTGCACACCCCCGGGTAGCAGGCCACGCGAATCCTGCCTGGCACCACCACTGCTGGTTGCTTCACCTTCAGCTCCGCCAAACCGTACATCTCCTTGACCATCGTCATCAACCCTCCAATGTCAAGACCACCTGCCTCGGAGGCGATGGCTGCTGTACACCGGCCTCTCCAACCTGCTGCTCGCACCAGGGCCTCCGCGTCGCTGCTCCTGCCAGCTGCCAGCCTGGTCTCCTGGAACAGCACCGCGTCGCAGCACTGCAACTCCTTCACCTCCATGCACTTGTCGAAATTGCTGAAGGCGTTGAAGTTGAGAATGGCCACCTGCCACTCCTCGCCATGCTTCTCGCGCCCACGGCGCCGAAGCAGCTGCTCTTTACCAGCGTCTGCCAGCACCGCGACGAGCCCTCTCATAGGCGTGCTCGCCGACGCTGGGACTCCGAGGGGCGAAAGGGGCATGCCCCGGGTGCTGCTGCGCCAGGACGGCGGGCCCTCTCGCCATTACCAATGCCCTCCTGTGGCGCAGGGGGCCTCACATCCGTGTCCGTAGCCTCGTCAACTTGAACTGGCTCACATCCGCGACTCCATAATTACGGCAGCCTGGCTGGACATCCGCAGCTGTCATCTCGAACCTCGGCCCCAGCGCCCCAAGGCACCA